GGACGGACGGACGGACAGACAGTCACCGCTTAATCGATTTCTCTTTTCATTCTGATCATTTATGTATACATTTGTCTATATCTATCTCGATTCGTTTTGCCTGTTACAAACAATCGTTATGTGAACAAAGTTATAATACCCGTGTGCACAAGTGCGCTCGGGTATAAAAATATTTACTACATGTCTCGCAGATATGTCTTGAGGAGAGATTCCTAAAGCAGTTAGTCTTCATAAAACACTTCATTTTCACTTGAGGTTTCAGTATTTCCGAATTCTCCACCGATATTATTTATATTCAGACATTTACCAAAACTCGCTGGTAACTTCCTGAAAAGAATACGAATGTTTATGAAACTAATTGGTTAAAAGAATGTTCAAAGCTCTATTCACTTTGAATAAAAAAAAAAATCGAAATTTCAGTCCGTGAGCTCTCTCAAGAATTTGCCTTTTTGCGAAGGCGTTAGTGTATTTGTAACATAGGCTCGGCTACGTTACAGGAGATGAAATGTAATCCAAATTGAGGCTGCTATTTTTTTTTTTGCTATCACATACTTCCATTTTCACTATGTATCACCATTAAAATGGATTATTTATCACCAAAAAATGTTGGAGATATTTTTGGAGATAGCTAAAAATTCGGAAAAAGGTGGGCCATCCTATTTTAGCACTTTAGCGATAGCGAAAGTTAGAATCCGGCTGATGGTCGACACAGCTGGCTTTTTGTTTTCGAAAAGAACCTCATCAGCAAGCAACGCTATGTTTTCAGATCTAAATATTTTAGCATCCTTTCCAAATTGTTTCCCATAATTTTCATATTTATTTGATAAATAATTGCAAAAAATACGCGTTTTTTCTTCTAAGAGTTTCATGGAACTTTCGCAAATATCAGCAGCACCAAATTTTTTTTTTCAACATGGTTGACAACCGAAAAAGGCTTTTATTTTTTCGAACATCCAATCAGCCAAACTTCAAACAACTTGCGTTTCGTGATAGCATGATAGCCCAGAAAAAACCCGTTTTTCTTGGAAACGGCTAAAAACGGCAAGTTAAGTAAAATAAATTCAATCATTACATCTTAATTTATCCATTTCTGATTCCATTTTGTTTGCCGAAAGTTAACAAAATTGTAAAAGCTTACAATGGAAATAAATCATAATCATAATTTTTGAGGTTATGAAAATAAGTCAGTTTTTTGCAAACAAATGATTAAAAGTTACTTTTTTAAATTGGGACATAGGTTCTCACTTAGATAAAGTTTGGTTTCGCATTAAAAATTTTCCTTTAGTTATTCGAACTTTACAAAAACAATGCACTTGAAATTTATAAAATAAACCGGTTGCGCAAACAACGTAGCAATAACGTTTTGAAAGTGTAACTTTGGTTTATTGCTGTATAACGGTGTTTTTATTTTACAAAAGCTAAGTGAAGTTTATTTGGAGTATTCTCTACAGAATGGCAACAAAAAATAATGTAAAACTGCCTTTACGAAATTGGACTTTCGCACAGCCAAATGTATCATTTGACCTAATGTGATATGTTAAAGCTTTATTTGAAAGACTTTTTGTGCCAATTACTAATCCGTAAGTATAAAGTTCCCATCAGCTCTAGATGGTCACGAGGTCAAAGTGTCATAAAATCACGATTTTTGCAATGTTTGAGAAGCTCTAGCAAAGAAATAAGAGGTGATAAAAATTAAAGCTAGAAGTCTCGACTACTGTTCCTGAAAATACCATCCGTGCACCTTGACCTGATAGTTCTTCTAGTATTCAAAAAATAAAAATAAAATATATAGAAAATCAACGCGATTTTCAATCGATTAAAACTTACACCTTATTATACTAAAATTTTACAGGTTATAAAACTGCATACCTTTCTTGAATTTTCCTAAGGTCTGTATAAAAATTGATGAATAGAAAAAATTTTAACTTTAAAAACCTTACAAATATTCAACAAAAACCATTATGTACTCAGCTTTGCACTATAGTGTAAGCGTTAAAAATACATGCATATGTACATACATATGCATATCGTCGTTTAAAGTGCAAAACCTCGTATCAACAAAATGCGAAACCGCGTATCAGCAAAATGCAAAATCCGCGTATGTGAAGTTGTAGAAATAATTTTCTAGAAATAATTTTTATAAAGCAATCGCATTTCTGGCTAGTATATTTCAGGACGAATAGATAAGGATTGAGCCAAGAGCTTGTGTGAGCAAATCCAATTTTTGGCAGCCAATGTCAGTTACGCGGTTTTGCAGAATGACGATACGCGGTTTTGTACTTTAAACGACGATATAATTTATAAGTCAAACTACATCTTGAAGGAAGTACAATTTTCATACTGACTTTATTTTTGCATTATCCTCAGAGATGGCAAAAATATATTTTTTTGAACTCATATATTTTTATTGCGATCTGTTTTTTTTTCTTTTTAACATTAAGCAATATTTGAAACTTAAATACTAAATAACCACCATATTCTATTCGCAGGTATTCAATGTTATTATAGATCTAATATTGATTTCCTTTTAAGGCGCTGGAATGACACTGTATGAGAAGTGAGTGTAGAAATAAGAGGATTTAGGTGATCATGAATTTTTTGTCAATGCGCCAAGGCGTGCTTTTTAATTTCGGAAGCAACAGTAGGGACTTTAAGGTCACGGTGTATTTGGTTGTTTCTGACATAGAGCGGAGCGTTCACAATCATTCTAAGAGTTTTTGATTGGAATCTTTGGAGTATTTCTATATTGAAGGTTGCTGCAGAGCCCCATAATTGTATTCCGTTTGTCCATACTGGTTTTAAGGCACATGAATAGAGTAAGAGCTTGCTCTCGAGTGAGACTTGCGACTTCGGGCTCAGTAACCAATGTAAATTTCTGAGCTTCATTCCCAGTGCTTTGAGTTTAGTGAAAATATGAGTTTTCCACGTAAGCTTGCTGTCGAGGTGCATGCCTAAGTATTTTGTCGCATCACGCTGTGGAATATCCACGTTATTGAGTTTTACGGGCGGGCAGGTTTTACGTTTAAGGGATAACGTAACCTGGACAGACTTTGTTTCATTTGGCTTAATTCGCCAAATATGTTGAGGCATTTTGGAGTTTAACCGAGGCGAGTTTTGGATGAGATTGCAAAAATTAACTAACTTTTATTTGCTACGTATCTACAGAAATTTCCACATACTGTGTGTAAAAATATATAACATATTTATTGTAGGATATGCATGAGTACAAAGCTTGAAATAATGATTGCTAACTGCTAACAATAAAATATATTTTTGCTTAAAGTTTTCTCATATAATTAAATTAAAATATTTACTTAATTTTTTTAAGGTTGAGGACATTTATGATGCAATCGATATTGAAGACGATCCAAATCATTTATCAGTAAATCAACCCGATATAATTGAACTAAGTCCTGCCGATTTGAATGCAGCTGTTCAATCGCCGAAGCGCGCCCGCCTCAACATAAACTATTCGATTGGACCTATTGGAGAGTTGGATAAACAAATCCAACAGCAAAGGCCACAACAACCACAAAAGCAAATCCACCAACAACAAATTCAGCATAGTATAAAACAATATAAAGTGCAACCGCAGCATATAGTTGTACAAACAATAACGAATGGCAGCAACACAACCTCAATCCAGGCGATCAATGCAGCGACAGGAAACACAATCGGCACTGTAAGTGGGTCTTTCTCCACAGTGGGCTTATCGCATATCAATGGCACAATGCCAAACAATCGTCGCAAAATACAATTAGTTAATCGTATTGTTTAAATTTTCAAGAAACAAACAAAATCAAACAGAAAGCCATTCGGCCATTTGTTCCTAAAGAACAGATGATAGGTAGGAAGAAAAAATGCTGTTCCCTTTAAAATAATGTACAGCATGTGTGTGTTTACATAAATAGGTAAACAATATTTAACACATTGTATACGATGTTATTTGAAAAGTGTAACAAAAAACATTAGCGAAGTTATCTTCAAGGATCAAATAATGTATCAAATCAAATTCAATCATTTGTACGTGTTTTACGCTTGCACTATATTTTAACAATCAGTTAAGCGTAAGCATCTTAATTAACTCCACTTTACAAATGATTTAGAAATCTAGTTATTTAATATTATCTGATTCGTTTTTAAAGTAAATTTGTTTCATTGACAATAATTACAAAAAAAAACATTAAAAATTAAATTAAATCAAATGAGAAATAGTAAAAGATGTTATGTGTTAAACACATTTTTTTTTGGTAAATTAATGGGCTAAAGTAATAACTTCATCACTTTTTGAAATTTAGAGATAGGTGAAATGATAGTAAATTGTAACTAGATTCAGATTTGAATGCGTTTTCTTTTTTCACCTAAAAAGTACGTCTCATCTAACATAGTTGTTTAAATATTTAGTATTTGAACAATTAATTTTTGATGATTCCTTGTTATCATATATCCTCCACAAAAAAGGAAAGCTCTCAACTTTCGGGAATTTAAAAACCATTTTTGCTTTGAAAACGAATTCTCTAATATTGCTAACAGTATGAAAATTTTAACACGAACCGTTTGATGTGTACAAATACGCTTAAAATGTGGCGTTCACAATAAATTTCTTACAATAACTTTATATTGTGTGTATATGTTCATATTGAATTCACATTTTTAAGTTGCAAAGAATTATGAGTAAAATATCGCACCAGTTCTCGAAAAGTATATTGTATTAACTGAAAGTCTCCGAGTCGTAATATAAGGTCATACATACATACGTAGCTATTAATTTGCAGCCAATTATATTAAAATATCACTTATGCTTTTGCTGGAAAACAGTTATGAATAATATCAATAAGATGGATTTATTGTTAATACATTTTTGATGGTCGTGCGCGATATGTCTGTCTGTATAAATTTATATTCGTAATATGTAATAGTAAATTATGCTTATTGCCGATATATTTCACATCATTTCATTTTTGTTTGTCCGAGCTCTGATCACATATATATGGGAGCATTTATAAAATGTCTACAATCTTCAGTCATCCGTTTCCGGGAAACAATAGAACTGATATAAAAAAGAAAAAAACTTTATTTGATTCTTAATTAATCATTCATGTATTTACAAAGCAATAAAAAACGTATTTTCCATTTTTGTTTATGGCTATAGTTTTTCGCAAACCAGAAACACTTTTCACTATTTGAACAAAAAAAAAAAAGAATCTTACTTGGTACTGCGATTCTAATTTATAATAACCAAATAAACTTTAGACTGACAATAGGATATGCATACTAACTACTAATTTTGGGCACAAAATCAAATTTTATAAACTTGACGAATTAAAACGTTTGATTTTTGTAATACTAATCTTTTTATTTTCATAACTTGATCTCTTTGCTTCGTAAGCTCATATTATAAAATCTATTTCGATAATTATAGAAATGCTAATGAATTATATTTATCTTGAAACACTCTTGCTATGAACACAATCAAGGTGGTGCCCGACAATGCGCAACTCGAAACTAAATATCGCAGCCAAGCTCTAGCACCTGAATTCTGATTTTTGTTTTTCTGTAAGTTCTATTTTTTTGTAATCTGTAATGTATATAAAAATGGGCTTTATATATTTACATGTGAATTTTTTATTTAGCATTGTTGCTAAGTTATATGTTCATATATGATTTTCTATGATTTTTCGGGTTTCATTCCTGGTTTTGATTGTGTTCAATTTGGTAAAAATATAATACAAAAATAAAAATTATGACTCAGCATAATTTCTGCAATTATCATTTTTTTTGTACCTGTGTCGCTCATACATGCACATTGAATGAAATATAAACGATTTTGTGGAATTGTTTAATACTTAACTGATGAGTGATTTGCTCGTTTTAAGTAATTTATATTTTAAATTTAAGGAGTTCCAGAGGTAGTTTGGATTCAAGAATAGTGCGCAATGCATTTGGTAGATATAAGTTTTTGGATTTCCCACAGAAAAACGTTGCTTAGTATATACATATACATATATGTAATAAATACACTCATACATGGTATAAAATTAAGTGTTGCATTTCAAGTCATTCCTCACTTAATTATCTTATATTAATTCCAAATAAAAAAACAAATGTAAGTCATAAATAAATCTTGCCAGCTCAGTATTTAAGATATCTAACTAAAAACGAAATTCCAGAAGAATCGTTTCTAATAGCGATAACTCACTCCATAGTAGGTTATACGTTATACATTATCTTAATGCAGAAAGGCCGTGACTTGTTTTCTTTCAACATCAAACTTTATAAAAAATCTACATAGATTACCACCCCAAAAATTTTAAACCATTACTACAATATTAAATCGTTTAGTCATAAAAAATTTTCAACAGAAATCTTAAATTCTTATTAAGTGAAAGGCCTTTCAAAATGAAAGTACGTACGAGATAATAGCCTTAGACGGCATGAATGTAGAACTCATTCAAACAGTCAATTGAGAAAAATCAGAAGAATAGATTATATAGATACTAAAAAAAATTACAAATATTGCTGTAAATAGTAGTTCTAAGAAACTATTCGCAATATCATATCTTTATGGTAATAAATACTAACGACAACCGCACCAAGGCATGATAATTATATAGCCTCCGCATTTATAAACGCATTTACGGAAATATGATTTCATTCTTTTTTTTCAAAGCGTTGCCAGACGCTCAAAAACGAAAGCAGAAAAGTACAAGTATAGAATTTTTTGTTTTTAAACTTATCTTCATCAAACTTAAAAGAAATAGTACAAACTTAATTTACATTAAAAGATATTAGTGCGCGGTTAATTCAGCGACGAAATGTGTTGTAGTTCACTGCTCTATGTTACATATCGTTACCTTAATTTACAAAGGCCCTAACCAAACTTTTTTTCGAAACTGCGGTTTTCATAAATTTTGGTGGGATATATGAAAATACACCTTCACTAAAATTTGAAAGTGTTAGTACCAAAAACAAGGGAGTTATGCCACTTTTTGAAATACCCTAACCGTATGCATGATTTTCTTTTCATAGGGTTTTTTGTTTCTCCTGTAAAATATAAAATTTGCTGGTTAGGGCCATTGTGAATTATGGTAACGATATGAATTACTATTTTTTTTCGTACCTACATACATATTAACAAGCATGACCATGTATACTAATATAAGCATTTGTATAAACGAAAATTTATATATGTATGTACATTCATATAAAACTATATAGAGTATGCAATTGGAAATTGGGAAATGTTAATACGATTAAATGGTAATGCAATTTTGCGAGTGTTGGAAAATATATATGTATACATTGATGATATAAAATGTCATGAGTGATGTGTCGATTGTCGTCGTGCATTTAACTATAGAATGTAATATGTAAGTTTATAATAGTACACTTATTTTTATATCAAACTTAAGTAGTTTGTAAAGAAGAAAAATGCGGAATTGTATGTATAGCCGCGATAGTCTGGGAGATTAGGCGCGAATGTTCCCTTTTTTGTAAATGAACAAATTTTTGCATTCGAACAAGGAAATTAGAAAAAACCAAATTTTTATAAACTTGTTAAAACCTTTATGTAGAGTACATATTTGGGAAGAAAAAAAGTCGAAATTAAAATGCATATATATATTATATATGTATATATATAAATAAATACACCAAATTTTACTAATTGTTTTTGATTGCCAGAGGAAAACGCACTAACAGTAAACGCCGATTGGACCGAAAGGCGGCGTTATACGCAGATATAACGAAATACGAAAAGTGATATTTAGAGCAACATAATAATAATATTTTGGAAGTTGCTCATTTTTTACGTGTTTTGCGGAGCTTCTCAACTAATAAAGGGTAATGGTTCTTTTCTTTTTTTATGGTAGAAGTAATGAAAAAACTTGTTTGGATATTGCTCCGAAATTCACACTTCTAACTTGTCTGCTATGGGAGTTGCAATGCTTCAGGAATGTTGGTGTATGTTTAAGTTTCACTTCAAAGAAGGGTCAACGTAATGCAAACAGCTGGAAAATATGGGCTTTTCATGGAGAGAGTTCTGTGTTAGAAAGAGCCGTCTACGAATGGTTCACTTAATTTCACTGTTCAAGATCCACCTCGCCCTGGTCGACCAATCGTACAAAAAATCGATTTCGATTGTCGATTGACAAATACAGATTTCGAAATAGTTGAGCAGTCATGAAACAACTAAACATCCATCACCAAACAGTATTTAACTATTTGCAAAAGGCTGGATAAAGAAAAGAATTGTGGGTACTTCGTGAACTTGTGGTAGCTGGGCTTGTTGGAGCAGCACTTCTAAGCCCCGCCTAGATCGGTTTATCCATCAATCTTTCATAGTCGTCAAGCTCAACAAATACTAGGTTTACATATAAGTAGATTATCCTCATTTTCGAGCTTAACTCCCAAATCTGTAATTAGCAAAAGAGATTAGCCATATAAAATTCGTCCCATGGTAATCTGCAATAGGCGGAGGTTGGGCTTCGATCACGGCATCCATAGGTCGAGAGTCGGTGTAGGTGGTGACCGACTCGTTAAGTGGTTGATCGATGTAAGTCTGGACTGCGTCCATGTACTCGAATAAAGATGCCTTATGGCATTATGAAAGCGGCATTACTGCCGCACTGATGAAAATTTGCAACACTGTTGTAACTGCCCAGCTGATAACACGTTGCTTGAAATTCATACCGAACGCGAGATACTTTAATAATTCGCACAACACTGCGGTTGTGATTTCTATTCGAACAAGCCCGCTTTCTCAAGCAGGGGTTTGTTGGGGTGTTCACGCCTTTAACATCCAATCATAAACTGCGTACTAAGCATTTTGTTATGCGCCCTTACGGGTAGGTGGGACTCAGGCGACATCGGAAGGCATCCTTCGCTGTCCGAAGTGCGGTGCTCTGACAAGTCTGTAGCTTCGTCCACTGCGCCCAAATAGTCCGCGGCTGGCCAATTGCCTTGTATGTTGCCAGCAACGTTCGAGCGACTTGAGGAACTTGTTGCGTCTCTGTACTTTATTGACGTACACGTGTGCGCGGAGAAGGAAATCAGGCTATCAAAGGTAAAAGTATGTTTACATTTAAATGTTTTCGTTATTTTTTTGGCCTTTTATAACAATTATATTCAACAATTTATATTGAGCTCGAGGCCGTTTTTTTAAACGAAAATTTATTGTGGAAAAGCAAC